ATATATATATATATATATATATATATATATATATATATGATGTAGTTGACCTGTCCAATTCCTGAAACTGAGTTCTCTGCTTCAGGCTCATTTTAGCTTTAGAAAATGCATGCTGCCAGATCTGAGACAAGAAAACTGCATATGGCAACTGGATCTATAGAGAGGATCATGGATGCAGGGATCTCAGAGCAGAGAAAACAGAAAGAAGAAAAACAGTGCATTTATGAGACCAGAATATCCTTTCTTCTTGTATGTGAGGGGGCACAGTAAAGAAACTGCTGACATGACTGCTCTGTTATTAGGAGGAAGGTTTTTACTGTGCATAAGAGAGAGAAAATATCCAGAGGCATCTAGAAGAGTCCAGAGCAGAGAGCAGAGAGAGCAGACCGGACATGGCCAGGGCTAACGAAGCCAGAGAGAATAACGGAGATAGCAAGAGATCGCAAATACCAAGAGAAGCAAGAACAGTGAGAATAGCAACAGAGCAAGAGAGAATAACAAGAGTGAGTAGCTGGTGGGAGGGGAGCCTGTGAGCTTAGGGTAGAGAAGTTCAGGGTAGAGAAGACGAGAAGGGCTAGAATTCTAGATGCATAAGCACTCGTGATCCTTCAGAAAAGCCAGAGGGGAAGGCATCAAAACCACACTGAAGGGGATTCTACTGTGAAGCCTGAGTCTTTTAAGGGTGTTCACCCATGGTTAGTGCACGTGTGTGACAGGAAAGTGTTCCCGAGCCTCAGTTCCTGATACTGTAGTAACACCCTAATTGCATCATCAAGGTTGTTTAACAATAAAAGAACGTTCTGACCATTGGGAAACACAACTACCAAGACTTAGCTGCCATTTCTCTTGGTTCTCTCAACTCCAACCCCTTGCCTATGTGCTATCATCATCTCTGCACTCTTTTTATGACCTGGTGTTGGTCATGGTAGTTAGTGGACATCTTTAGCCTTAAATGAGGAAAGGTTAGATCAGGTGAGTCTATGTCAAGTCAGTGTATGCTATAGTTCGGAACAAGAAAAAGAAGAAGAGAAGGAGGAAGAGGAAGGCATCGAGCAATCAGCAACCATTATCGGATCATGGCTTTAGAAGGCTGAAGTGTACCTTCCTTGGCTCAGTCTTCAAGGAGGTGGTTTGCACTATGCGTGGCTTGGGATCAAAGGGTGATGAGAGCAATGGCATTTCCCTGTAGTCCTGGCTTCATTAGACTTCTGTGTCCTAAAAAGGATAGGCCTCACAGCATCAAGTATGTGCCCTTGCAGGGGCCTGTTTTGTGGCTTTGCAATAACATGCTGGCCTTGCTTCACATCTTGGGATTCTGTGAGACCAGAGAACTAAAGTTCAGCCCCTATCCCCAAAGTTGTAAAAGGGGCACATGGGTAGTCTATGTTTACCGTGGAGTGCTTATGGGTAACGTCTAGGGTCTGGGGAGGTAATGAAGCAGTGGCTTTCCCTGTAGCTCCAAGTGCTATAGTGGCAATATGACCTACGGAGCATGATGGTCTACTGGTCTGTGAGTGACAACTGCATTGCTGAGGCCATTTGTTGCACCTTTTTCCCTGGGAGACATAAACAGGCATCTATCCCCTCCTTATTGGGCTTCAATGGCCAATCAAAGTACAATTCCACCAAAATTTAATTTGGTGGCTCAGTTAGTTTATTGTTGACTATTTACAGAGCGTCAGTAAGGACTTACTTAAAGAGTATGGATTGCCTCGTGCTGTGGTGCACACCTGTAATTCCAGCACTTGGGGAGGCAGAGGCAGGTGAATCTCTGTGAGTTCAAGGCCAGCCTGCTCTACAAAGGGAGTCCAGGACGAGCCAATCAAGGCTACACAGAGAATCCCTGTCTCAAAAAAAACAAACAAAACAAATAACAAACAAAAAAAGTCTCCCTCTGCAACTTCCCCGTAGCTGCATTGCTGGAGTGCCCCTTCAATTAAATTTTCCCCCTCCATATACTATTTCACCTCCTGAGTCCCCAAGGCCATGTGCAAGAAAACAGGATCAAAACAATCTGGGTTCCTTCTTTTGTCCCTACCTTCCATGCACAGGATTTCAGAACCAAACTGACAAATTCTCTAGGGTTGGAGGTGGGAGCATTGCTCAGGCGGATGCCAGGAAGCACAGAAGATGCCATACTAGTTCAGGACTCTGGTGGTTAAGGGGGTACCTCAAGAAAACAGGAGGCCCTGCAGTCATGTTCTCACAACCTTTCCGTCAGCCAGCTTGCCACGCAGTGAAATTTGAAATATTGGCTCCATGGGAAGTTGCTGAATAGGTTAAAGTGAAAAGTGATTTGTTGTGTCCTTCACCGCCAAGGAACTGTCCTTAATTCTGACAGTCACTCAGCCCCCTCATTGCTTCTGCCATGAAAGACATGGAGTTCCTTGTGTTGCCCTTCTCCTACAAGCTTCATGTAGCAGCATGGGGTTAGGGCTCATCCCAACTTATTTTTCTGCTGCTGAGATAAACATCACAACCAAAAGCAACTTGGGGAGTCTTAGTTACTTTTTTATTGCTGGGATAAGACA